TAATCATACTCCACTACTCATAAACTACCTTACTCCGCTACTCATTTGCATTGTTGGAGTCCACAAAGTATGCAGTGAGAACTAATCCTGCAATCGAAGCAATGTAAAATCTGGACACAACATGCAATTTCCTCAGCAATTGAAACTTGGTTTTAAAGTATTTTAATAGGCACCCATGGGAAATGCTTGACTTGCACGCTAATTATATGAGATAATGCCCAAATGTCGCAATATGATTTGGAATGCCCAGCACCCAAATAGTAAAATTATTTCCAATTATCCATAGACATATCGGAGTTTGCCTTAGGCGGTTAATGACAAGGTTCACGTTTACGCTTAAACAGAACGCCCTAATGTAGTAAATCTGCTGGCATCTTACAGACCATTAATTCTAGTTCAGCACAACTTGCAAATTTAATTCTAACAGCCTATTTATACAGCCTGTGTACAGATTGTAGCGTTAAGTAAAAATAGAAGCAATAAGGTAAGCCCTCAGCTAGCACTTCACATTTTTTAAGCGCTTTTCTACGGATTTGCACGTTCATTTAGAATGCAAATGTTTAAGGTTAAAAAGTGCACCTTTTGTTTTGTTACACAAAAATGTACTAGATATATTGATGGTACAAAAATAAGGTAATAGATTGGGCACAAAAAGTATTTATTTTTTTACTTTCTTAACTACCAAGATAAAAACCGCAGTTAATAAAGACTTTCTATTAATATTAATGGCATACGTCAAACAAATTAAAGAAACGTATTAAAAGTTAACTTCACCAAGATCATCATGTAAACCAGTTAACTATCCATTTAAAAAAGTATGTTATATACAGTTAGCTTAAGTACCTGAATCTTTTTTTTTTTTAAATTAGATTCCTTTAATACGCTGCCTTGCAGGATTTAGGCTTCACCATGAGTCAGTTAGGCCCTGGCTGCATTGCATGGCACTGTCAATGTGTACTGACTTGAGGAAAGAGCTGTATTTTTAGAGAGCAATATCAGTGTCATCAATATGCTAAGGGTTTCAGTCATAAGGCTGAGGGCAGGTTGGTGACCAATCTGTATGGCTTGCCCATGCAGGGCAAAGTGACAATTTCTCTGAAAAGGTACCCCCTATACACAGCTTGCCTTTCCTTCCTCACCACTTCATTCTCTGTCGCAGCCAATGCTGAAATATGTGTGTGCCACATACACTAATACAAAACAAAAAGAATCCCCAGCACACCTGCCAGCTGGCCTGCAACAAAACAAATTACCCTGTCTAACAGTATATGTTAAAAGCAGAGGCACAAACCTTTGGTCCAAAAATATGTAGAAGCCACACTGCCACCGTCAAGGCACCTCTGTAAAGTGTGGTCCTAACTCTATTTATATGAGTCTCCTAGTGGGAGCATATTGATGTAGTTGATAAATTCAATGCAGGTGTACCAGGAGGTAGCCTACTCTTCCTCACTATGTGCAGGGACACACTGGAGGCCCAGCAACCACAGATGCATGCTGTGATCCCCAATGCGTCACTACATCCAAGATAGTCAAACTAGCAAAAGATGGTAACCGCATACATTTATAACTAGCCTTTGTAGCAGGGTGTACATGGGAAGGCTTACAACAATACAAAACAAAAAGAATGCCCAGCACACCTGCCAGCTGGCCTGCAACAAAACAAATTACCCTGTCTAACAGTATATGTTAAAAGCAGAGGACCACATACACTAAACACTTATCCTCAAAATTCTCTGAAATTATCATTATCAGAGGACATTGATGTAATAGGTATAAACATCTTAGAATGCCTTGCTGTAATAAAATCATATTTTTATACAGAAAATATATTTGTTTTATCTTCTTCTTTTCAGGTTAAGCCTTCATCTGTATACCACATAGGCAATGATACTATTTATCGAGTAAGTAACCATTCAAAAGTGAGAGCTAAAATTTGCAAGATATGTGCTGCATGTGAAAACATGTAGGAGAGGAGTATTCCATAGGTATGTTAAGAGATAGGCACAGTTTTAAATAAAGTGTGCTTATCTTCCCCCTTGACCTAATGTGTTCCCCAATGCAAACTCAATATTGAAGGCATGCAGCCTGGTATAGTTCACAAGAGGAGGGGAGAGAGCATACTTGCTGCCCTCCCTGCCCTAGCCACCCATGCTACATGGCTGGATGAGGGTTTGGTATGAATTTCAAGGGGAACACTATGCTGTTTTTTTATGTCACTTTTAAAGGACTACATGATACTGTTTTGTAACTTCATGTGCGCTTTTAAGGCACCCTCTCCCATGCATGTTGTTAATAAAATTGGTCAATTTTGGAAGTAGCCCTTTAAGCCACATTAAATGACCTAGTCCCTGCTGAACAGTATATTGATACAGTATACTGAAAAGTATTTTGCATTGATACATATTAGCAATAGCTTTCAGATTAGCCTTCAAAAAGACCCCCCCAAAAATAGCATGATTTAATTCTAATAGACTTTAATAGAATTCAATGATGTGTTTGGGGTTTGCGGACTTCCCGCTGGGTTTGCGGAAACTCCTGTGAACTAAACTTTGTTCGGTTGACTCATCCCTACTCTTAAAAGATGACAGGTATTTGTACCACTAGGATTTCTGAACCGCATCCCATTCAATAAAAGGGTACCCTTTTGCTTATGTTTAAAACTGATTCTAAAGGAGTTTTCTATACTCCTCCTTTTCCCAATAAGTTGATCTAACCCACTCTTCCCTTCCTCAGCTGCATACTTAGTAAGTTCTGTAACGCAGCCCAGCCACATCCCACTATGATGTTTACCTCGACCCAACTAGTTCTCTTTTTCCCACTGCCTGATCTCTTGAATGGCAGGGGAAATACTTAGGGAAGTCTATGGGTTTCTATAATCATGAGCAGGTAGCAGGAAGAGGAGGACCAGTCAGAGCTAAACACTGCAGCGGGACATTGCTAGGCTTGCCCACCAGAACTAGCTAAGTATGCAGCTGAGGGGAGGTCGATTTAGATCAGCTGAGGGCGGATGGGAGGGTGAACATAAGGGTAGGGAAACTATTAGAAAACCATGTTTGAAAGTTTCCTTACCCTTTAAAGTTATATGCTTAAGGTTAACTGATGTACATTGCATGAAATGTCAATTATTCACTAAAACCAGCACATTTTTGTATTTTATGTAGTATCACAGCATGGTGTCACTTAAAGTAGAAGAAGTAAAGCAATCATTTAACTCAACCCAGACAGCTAAGTTATCAGTAAGGAATCAGGGCCAGCAGAGAATGAAAGTTCCTGTACAAAACACAGAACTGCTACAGTCAGACAGGGCCTCCATATCTTCTGATACTGCTAAGCAGGTAGGTGACTGTTTTTTTACAGTAATATTAAATTTTGTAATACACACGGAAAGACAAATTATGGTTAGTTGCTAATACTGTCTGCACTTTCATCCCTATCCCATTACCTTCAGGGCCTGTGTCAGGCGTTGGGCTTGTGATGATGGCCTCACTTTTACATCAGTTTGAGATACTTCTGAGATCAATGACAAGTGCATTTGCCCTGCAGTTGAGCTCATTCTGACCTGCATTTGACCTGTTTCAAGTGGGCTTTGCATTTCTTGTATGGGAACGCAAATCCCACTTCAAGTGGACAAAAGCCCATTGACACTTAAAGCATGAATAAAGTCCACATCAACATGGGAGGACACTTTCCATATTGAAAAGGCTACGCATACATGCCAAAGCGACCCATCCAGCAAAAGGATAATAGGGATACCAGGTCTTCTTACTGGTTTGCGCCGTCTTTGGCCATCTTGAATGGCCGGGCTGGGGTGACCTAACTCCTGTACATGCACCAACTTAATTCATTCCAGCACCCAATGCATGCCAAGAGTGTACATTCAGAAGAAAAGTGCTAGCAAGTAAGGTAGAGTCTTATCTGCAATAAAAGCCGACCTGCTAGCAATTTTTGAAAGCACTTTAGTTCTGCTATAAAAGTGTAGGCAGTTTTAGTTCAAATATACATTCACTGGCCACTCCATTAGATACCCTTTGCTAGTACTGGGGTGGAGCCCTTTTTTGTCTTCAGAACTGCTTTAATTCTTTGTGGCATTAATTCAACAAGGTGATGGAAGCAATCCTTAGAGAGTTTGGTCCATACTAACATGATAGCATCACACAGTTGCTGCAGATTTGTCAGCTGCACATCCATGATGCGAAGCTCCACCAGCCTGAACAGTTGATGCAAGGCAGGATGGATCCATGCTTTCATGTTGTTTACATCAAATTCTGACCCGACCATCCGAACATCGCAACAGAAATTGAGACTCATCAGACCAGGCATTGTTTTTCCAATCATCTATTTTACAATTTTAGTGAGCCCTTGAAAACTGTAGCCTCAGTTTCCTATTCTTAGCTGACAGGAGTGGAACTGGGTGGTCTTCTGTGGCTGTAGCCCATCTGCTTTAAGGTTCAATGTGTTGTGTGTTCAGAGATGCTCTTCTGCATACCTCAGATGTAACGAATGGTTATTTGAGTTACTGTTGCCTTTCTATCAGCTTGACCAGTCTGTCCATTCTCCTCTGACCTCTGGCATCAACAAGGTATTCTTTCCCAGAGAGCTGCTGCTCACTGGATATTTTCTCTTTTTCGGACCATTCTCTGTAAACCCTAGGAGATGGTTGTGTATGAAAATTCCAATAGATCAGCAGTTGCTGAAATACTCAAACCAGCCCGTCTGGCTCCAACAACCATGCCATGTTCAAAGTCACTTAAATCACCTTTCTTTCAGATTCTAATAAAGCAGCAAGTGCGTGTATATTCTGACGTTCATGAAATATATTGTTCATGTATTTTTTAAACTATCAATTTGATTATTTTGCTCTTATTCCTTTGTAGGAAAAAAGTATGACCTTTCCTAAGAAATGTACTCCAGACTTAAAAGGACTCTTGCATTTTGATGATAAGAGCCAAAATCTTTACAAGTGCAATGGCATATCATGGAACACATGGGAAGCTAAAGTCAAGGTACTAGTGAATCTTTATTTTGTTATTACGGTCTGGACGTAATATTTCATATTCATAAATAAAATAGCAGTACCTTATACAAATCTTAGCAGGCTTTCACATTCCTGACATGTTTATAACATTCCCAAAGTTTAAGGTCTAATGAAAGTGCTGTAGTTTTTAGAGAATTTGCCTTTTCTGGGCAGTTTAGTGGCATGGTCTCCTTTATACCTGCAATACATATACTGTATGGGGATATTGACAGGTATTAATTTGACTGGGATAATAAGTGTCAACATGTATTTTCATGTTTTGGGACTTAAAGGTTGTACCTTTAAGTCCCAAAACATGAAAGAGAGGTAAGATGTAATGATGCTATGTAGATTGCAACAATCTATAGCAACCAATCAGGTTTTACTTTACTGAAGTCATGCTTTGCTTTTCTGTACTTTACACAATGGTCTTTGCCATCCTAAATAAGACAGATATTAATATGGTAAGTAATGTCTTTAATCTGGGAACATTAATGTCAAAGGTATTATGTAATCTTCCACTTCTTCTGGAGTGTCCTAATGTCTGGACCCTATTTCACAAGAACAAGCTGGGTTTATCTACTAAATAAATATTGGCTTTACCTTACATTTTACTGGATAAGTAAAATAATAGCAATTTAATTAGGATGTGCAAAACATACTGGAAAGGGTGCAGGGGTTTAACTACCAATCATGGAGCCCCATAGCAAAAGTTTGATTGGGCCTGCCCAGTGACCTCTCTCTGTGGCACCTGGTGGTGGTAACTGTCAGCATAGTGAGTACATAACTAGGGACCAGTGCTGTAGATAAAAGCATATAAGCCTTTCCATACCTTTCACTGCCACAGCAAAAATGTGCTGAAAGAGGCAGTCTAATAGTCACTAAAGAGTTGCAATAGCAGTAATAACAATATTAAACATTTATATATCTACACTGAAGAGTTTGAAGGGGGTCAGGGTTCACTGCAACATCTCCAAACCTTAATATTATAGTATGAATTCTGTGATATTTTCACTTTCACATGTTCTATGTTTAATTTGCCTCAACAGCTTCACTACTAAGCCCTGTATCCTACCCATAGGGCACTACAGCAGCCATGTGGACTGCTGTGGCTATAGTTATGCCACTGATATGGCATCTGGTCTGGCATGATAATAGTGAGAATTAGGGATGCACTGATACTAGTATCGGTATTGGTACCGATGCAGAGTATTTAGGTTGAGTACTCGTACTCGCACCAATGCTCTAATGCCTAGCCTAATACTTGAGCTTCCGGTAACAGGAAGCCAGGCAGCGAGTTGTTACACGCTGCCCGGCTTCCTGATTGGCCGGGAACCCGGCTTCATGCTCCCTCGTCACCTGGTGTCTTTACGCTTCCTCATCAGCGAGTCTTTACACGCCGCCCGGCTTCCCGGCTAATCAGGAAGCCAGGTGGTGAGTCATTACAAGCTGCCTGGCTTCCTTAGTGGGACTTCCGGTATCGGTATTCTGTATCAGCGAGTACCGGAAAAAAATATCGATACTCGTACTTGATACCGAAGAACCGGTATCGGTGCATCCCTAGTGAGAATAATCAACTCTAAAGTATGGCCTGGTGTAAGTACGGGAGTTTTCATAAAAAATATGGCATTGCCCTATAACCTCTATTGTATGACCAATGTGTGAATCTTTTTTTTGGCATATAACATTTCTAAAATATAGGTTGCGCAAAGGAACTATTATAACAAAATATCTCAAAAAATGTGTGGGTGTAGGGTGGGTTTCTCTTTTTCTTCTATTGTGATGTGTTTATAGTTTAGAATTTCTAGTAATTAACAGCCTTTTTCCTAGAGTTGCATCTCCAGCTAAACACAATATGGTCATATTTAAGCAGTTTCCACGTTGTGGTTTCACATAAGCTCTGTTATTAAGCTGTGCTCAGGCTAAGGTGGTTGAGCCATTTTCCTGGAAAGAAGCCATTTTTCTATTAATTATAAATTGTATATGTTTCAGGCAACAAAATGTCCATTTGGCTGGACTCCACATGACAGCAGCTGCTACAAACACATCACTGAGCAGAAGGCCACATGGATCACCGCAGCCCGGATATGTCAGGAACAGTAAGAACACTGGTTTATTTTCTGAATTACTAGACCTTCTGTAAAATAACTCTAGTTATAGCATGCGCTTAAGTTAAGTTTGTTGTTTTTAAATTACCAAACACAATGAATAACTACTACTAATGATATACCGAGCAAGGATGTTTGCAACTTTTCATAAAATTAGTTTAGGATGCTCATGCCTGGGTCACATATTAACTAGATGAGGCCATTCTAATCGGCACATGTTTGAGAAGAAGCCAAAATCTGTGGCAGGTTGATAATCATTTGATTATTGATTTACTGAAAAAAAGACAGACTGTAAGTAAATGACCGCTTAAATTAAGCTTTCATTAACTTAAAAGCTGAAACCTGAAGTTCTGGCAAACATCTAAATAAACAGATGAACTACATCCAGCCATGTTGATGACACTACTTACAGATATGAAATGCAGTGGTGTCCTCTGTCCACTCCTGGCCTTCTGTCTGCACACTGAATGAGCTGCAGCAGCAGACTAATGGGTCATCTCTGTTCACTCTGCTTTCTCCTCCTAGCAGCGTGTTAGTTATCAACATGCTTGCAGCACAGTTTAATGGCTCCTTCCTGCCCCTTCTGTCCAATTATTGGTGTTGCTATATAGGGGATTGCAAGAGGTAATGCCAAGTCAATTGTAGGTACTAATTTGATCCCAAAAAAAAAATCAAAGGCTTAATTAATTAGTGCTCTTTATATCTGCCTGGAGTTAAGCTTTAATGTTTGGATCTGTCAGACAGAGCCATGCTATTGCCAGAAAGTGCTGCCCTGATCATGCCTATGCCAAGGTAGGACAAGCAACTAACATTAATTGTGTGTGAACATTATAGATATAGATTTGGAAAAGTTATAATAACTAATTTAAAATCTAGAATATAGTAATTTTTATTGACATATTTGGCCTCTTTTACTCTAATACAGGTACCGTGCAACACTTGTAGATATCTTCAGTAAAGAACAGATGGATTGGCTGTGGAACTTCAGTGGCAGAAAGTCATTTTGGATAGGCATGTATTTTTTTCCATAATTAAAATCTTACAATAGTCTTTTACATGTAATACATAGGTGAGAATACTTAATCTTCATATTACATATCTCTTATTAAAGAATAGTTATATAAAGGGCCTTTTTTATTTCCCCACACATAGACAATGTTTGTAAGGTTATGATGATACTAAAAATAAAGTCCCAGTAACATAAAAGTTTCATCAGCTATAAATAATAATAATAATAATAACAATAATTCTAGCAAATAATATATCTGTCAATTTAACATAATGATCATCACCTGCACACCAGAACTTAGTGGGTGTTTACTTCATTCCTTCAATTTATCAGTTCATTTGAACATTAACCCCATGCTGTCTTTTGAATGCCAGGTGATTTTTTTAAAGTGTTCAGTAGAGGAGAGAATGGTTAAGACAAGGGATGCACCAATACCGGTATTTTGGTACCGAGTACCGATAATTTTTTTTCGGTACTCGCCGATACCAACTACCGAGTAACGGATGTCCCATTCAGGAAGCCAGGTGGCGTGTAATGACTCGCCACCTGGCTTCCTGATTAGCCGGGAAGCCGGGCAGCGTGTAAAGAGTCGCCACCCGGCTTCCCGATTAACAAGAAAGTCCCCTCTTACCTTAGTATGTGCAGCCTGTAATCCCCCGGGGCCTCTCCAGCGAGAACGCGGCCTTCGTCCGGTACCCAGCCGGAGCCTTCTAGCCGGCCAATCAGGAAGCCGGGTGCCTTGTCATGACGCTGGGAGGCCGGCTCCATGCTCTCTTGTTATGAGATGATGAGGGAGCATGAAGCCAGCTTCCCAGCCAATCAGAAAGCAGGGCGTCGCGTCATTAGACGGCGCCTGGCTTCCTGATTGGACGGCTCGGGCTGGGTACCGGACGAAGGCTGCATTCTCGCTGGAGAGGCCCCGGGGGATGACAGGCTGCACATACTAAGGTAAGGTAACCTTACCTCACGAGGCCAGCTTCCGGTCAATCGCGAAACTGGGCAGCGTGTAATGACGCGCTGCCCAGCTTCCTGATACCGGAAGTACTCGTGCTAGGCATCGGAGCATTTGGGCGAGTACAAGTACTTGCCCAAATACTCGGAATCGGCACCAATATCGATACTAGTATCGGTATCGGTGCATCCCTAGTTAAGACCCCTGAATCCCACCTGAGAGATTTAATTTATCTTGCTGTTCTGGAGACACAGCAGGAAGTAAAAGGAGATCCCTCTAAAGCAAGTGGATTTAAACTCTAAGGCCTTGTTCACACCAAACGCGGAGCAGGTGCAGAGCAGATCAGTTGCAGACCGGATCAAAACTGCGTCCAATGTCGGGATTGGGAAGTGAGGACACGAGGTGGACTTAGAAGAAGTAGAAGGGAAAGGTAGTACACATAGGACTAAGGAAAGTAGGTATTAAATAATAGCTAGGATGCACAAGGAAAGTGGGAATAATAAAAATGGGGAAAGTGATGAGGAAGGAACATGGTTTAAGTTGCAATAAAAGGGTTTATTATTGATTGTACATTGTTTATTTATTACACTAGAGAACACATGAGGGAAATAACAATAAGTAATATAGGAACGCAGACACTATAAGAGTCACAGAAGTTATAGAGTTATAGAAGTCACAAACACTAGAGGGGTACTATAAATGAAGTATAAGGGATGGGTACACTTCCTTCCCCCCTCCCCCCCCCCCCCTTTTGAAACCATAAGAACGGGAGTTAGAATGAGAGGAGAGAGTGATAGAAGAAGTAAATATGATGGATGATAGTGATGGATATGGGAAGTGGGTGAAGTTTAATTATCTTAAATAGAGCTATAAACAATTATTAAAATTAAGAGATAATTTGAAATTAATGTTTATGAATGTTTGCTTAAATGTACTTTTATGGAAACAAAATAATAAAAATATATTAAACAAACAAAAAAAACTGCGTCCAATGTATTCCAATGGTATTTTTTGCTCCAGTTCACATCGCAGCGTGCAGTTCCAGAGCAGGTTCAGAGCAGGTGAAAAAACTGCGGCAGGCCCTATTTTACCTGCTCTGGATCTGCAAATGCATCAAAAACGCATAAAAAATGTATGCAAATGCCTGTGACGCACTAAAAGCCAATTTTAAACTTAAAAAAAACATTTTTAATACGCGTCAATAACGCATCTAAAACGCATCTAAAAGACTGTGCAGAAACCTGACCAGATCTGCTCTGCATTTGGTGTGAACAAGGCCTTAGGCATTTGCATGCGTTTTTGATGCGTTTGCAGATCCAGAGCAGGTAAAATAAGGCCTGCTGCAGTTTTTTCACCTGCTCTGGACCTGCTCTGGAACTGCACGTTGCGATGTGAACTGGAGCAAAAAATACCATTAGAATACATTGGACGCAGTTTTGATCCGGTCTGCAACTGATCTGCTCTGCGCTTGGTGTGAACAAGGCCTTAGACAATTGTTACCATAGCAGGTTTCACCATTGGAAACTTTCCTCTCAACTTCTGTTGCTGTGGCAACTCAGAAAACTGGATTTCCCTTCACTTTCTGTACCAGAGGCAATTATGGTCACCAGGATCAATAGTGGGGGTGAATATCCTCAGCATGGACTCAAAAAACATTAAAAACTAGTGATTTCAGCAGGGGAACTTTAACCACTTCAGCTTTTGAACTTTTAAATCCCCTTATGAACCTGAGCAATTTTACGTTTATGCTATAGCCTATGCTTACTTACCCTTGATATGCAGATGAACAAAACAGAGTGAATACGAAAGTAAAAATGTTACTTTGTATCTGTAAATAGTATTTATAAACAACGTGTCAGAAGGGCTATTTTTTTACAGCAGCTGCTGTGAGGCTCCATTCACACTGGAGCTGCTTTCCACTCGTATTCAGCCATACGGAAACACAAAAAACAATGCACTTCAATGTGCATTGTTCATACTATTGCGGAAACCGCGCAGTCCCAAAAATAATGCAAGCACGATAATCCGGCGGATTCCGCATGTTCGTGGCTGTATAATGGCCGCAAACGAGCGGGATCCGTGCAGTTGTTTCACATATAGCGTTTGCGCCCCGCGCGGTCTTCCGCACGGAAAACCATGCAGGAAAGTCAAACGCTATATGTTAATGGAGCCTAATAGCTGCTGTATTTACACATTAAGAGTTGCCGACCAATGTGATGGGGGAATGGCAGCAGGGCAGGAGGACAGGCTGCCCTGTGTACGTTGATGACATTTTTTTGCAAAATGCCCAAGATCCACAACTGGTTACGGTCTGTGTAACAAGAGATATACTTAACACACAGATGCTCCTGAATAGTGAAGACATGTATCAAACACTGGTTTCTGTGTACTAACAGCAGGGCATAGTAGTCTATTGAAACTATTGCTATTTTACATACTCCTTTGTACACAAAAAATGATCAATTCAACTTGTGTTTGTAGGCTTAACTAACCGAGTCAACAGTGACAACTGGGAATGGAGCAAAGGAGAGAAGACCACCTTCACTAACTGGAAAAGAAGATCACCCCGCCGGACAAGGAAAGGGAAAAATTGTGTTTCTGTGCAAAAGAAAGGCAAATGGCATGTGAAAAACTGCCAGAAGTCTAATCATTATATCTGCTCAAAAAGAGTGTAGTACTTAATGTTATTAGGTAATGTACAATTTTTAGAAATATTTATTATTCTAATTTTTGAGTAAGTTCAACCAATTGTATTTAAAAAACAAATATTATTCTGATATACAGTATGTTAAAGATGTAAAAAGAACAGGAGCAACGGAATTAGTTTCCAAAAAAAAGCAAGTGGAGGACAAAGGAATACTCATCAGTATTGCCTATGAATTCCCTGCACCTGATTTTCTTTCCCTTTTACTGACTTACCATGCCTTGTTTGTTTTGCACTGTGTCTCTGTGTGAAGTTGACTAAATTGGTAGAGAAAAAGGGATTTGCTTCCTTATGTTAGAGCTTCCTCTGATGACAGGTGATCTAAAGTCTGATCGAGAAATATAGAAACAGCAGCAGGAGACATTTAGAAAGCAGAGATCCACAGAATACATTAAGCAGAAGCAAGGAGAGCCTTGGACTGCAGGCCCTCAGGTACAGCTTCCTGTGCAGCCAAGAGAACAGTGAGCAACAGAGTAGTCACATCAAGACTCACTCAAGTCTCATATGACTAACAGTCAGCCGCAGCATCAGCAGTGTTTTGGAATTAAAACAACTATGAGGTTCGAGGCTGAAGTGTGCCTAAGCACAGGTATTGCAATGCTTTTTGTTAGAAGGAATTAAAAGCAAATCTTTCAGGGTACTGCTTAGTAAGAATTGAAGAGGAACTTCAGGAATCTAAAAAGTCAACCCTTGCAATGGGACTACTCTTACACTGCAAGGGTTAACTGTTCATTTTGGTCTATGGGCTCAACTAAAAGAAATATACACACTTGATTTTTAATCTCACCGGGCTGCTAGACCGGTCCCTACATCCTCTTCTCTACCAGGCTCCAGAAGTCTAAGCCCCGCTGATGTCATGACGTCTAATGCAGTACATTCATAGACATGAGGACACCAAGGGACATAACTCAGCTGGAGAATAAGAGTAGAGAGGTGAGTGCAGAGACTGCCTGCTGGACAGAGGATCAGGTGAGCATATGTTCTGTATTCCGACCCCTAGAGCAAAACAAGCAGTTAACAATTGCAGTGTGGAGGTAGCCCCATCGCAAAAACGAACTTTTTAAATAACTGAAGTTCTTCTTTAACATTTTTAGATGTTCACTATAACAAGAAAGCTTTCACTTTTTGAATTCAGTTCCACTTTAAGAGAATAAAAATGTTTTACATGTAATAAGAGATCCTTCAGACATACATGTAAGCTAAAGCTATACAAAGCAATTTTAAGTGACATTAGCAGTATTTTGTGTGCATAGGCTCAAATAAACTTTTTAGGTGCTAAAGGTGTTTATCACTCTGTTATCAGACCAATGAAGGTAAATAAATTGTCCAAATCTGACTACCTTGGTGTTGTTTCTAATGTCTTTATTTGTTTGTACTGCACTAGTAGAACTCATTGACAACTATAACCATTGGCTATATATAGCAAAAAGATTAGATCAATATATGAAATAAAAATCAATCCTGACGATTTCTGATATTTATTTACCAATGGTAAGGTTGTGAACATCAACAGAAAATCTGTGGCAGAACTACCAACCAAGCACGCTATACTTCCACTAAGAGGCCAAAACCTTGGTGTTGGTTTCTAATGTTTTTAGTTGTTTGTACTGTACCAGTAGATCTCATTGACAAGCATATGCATGGCCCATATCTTTAGGCAACCTAGATCTAAATGGACAAGATCACAATAAATGCTTTTCTTTTTTTTTATACCTTTGCATATTTTACATCATCTATTAAAGCCCCACAGTAGGTTCATGTCATTTACAAAGATATAAAGCATGATGGTTTACTGATATATGCTCTATAAATGGAAGAAATATTAATATTGTAGCTTCCTAATAAATGTTCACCAATGTTAAGGTTGTGAACATCAGCATAAGGTCGTCATAAGGTTTGCAGAACTATCTCCAAAGCACGCTACACTGCAATTAGGGGCTTTAAGATGCACCTCACTATTTCCAGCATTTTGTTGGAGGAGTCCTGTCTGTGGCAGGACTACCACCAGAGCATGCTACACTGCTATTAAGGGGATCCACCTCACTATTTCCAGCATTCTGCTTACCATTAGGCAGAGGAGGCACACTCTCCATAGAGGAGGGCAGTGCAGATACCTACTGTGCCTAATTCCCGGTGTTGGGGAAGATGCAACACCGGCAATAGCAAGGAGGGTGCATTCTGCACAAAATGCACCCTCCTGTTCCAAGGCCAGCCGAGCCTACAGGAACTGCCGACTTCTGCAAAAGCAGGGGAAGGAGCTGGCTTTGCATAAGGATGCCCTATAAAACACCTGTCTGATGTGGACAGGCATTTAGGGCAGCCTTAAGTGATGCTGGTGTCCTTCTCTGCATATGTGAAAGCCAGCAGGCCCCGGAGCAGGTAAGGGCGCCAGCTCAGGCTAAACAGATTTTCATTCGTGCCTACAAGCTCCTGAGATTGAAATCTGGCCCTGGGCAGGACTACCACCAATGCATGTTATGCTGCCATTATGGGGCTTTAGAATCCACCTCACTATTTCCAGCATTCTGCTGGAGGAGCCCTGTCTGTGGCAGGACTACCACCAAGGCATGCAATGCTGCCATTAAGGGGCTTTAGGATCCACCTCACCATTTCCAGCATTCTGCTGGAGGAGCCCTGTCTGTGGCAGGACCACCACCAAAACATGCTACTCTGCCATTAAGGGGCTTTAGGTTCCACCTCATCATTTCCATCATTCTGCTGGAGGAGTCCTGTCTGTGGCAAGACTACCACCAATGCGTGCTATGTTGCTATTAAGTTGCTTTAGGATTAACCTCACTATTTCCAGCATTCTGATGGAGGAGCCATGTCTGTGGCAGGACTACTGCCAATGCATACTAGGTTGCCATTAAGGGGCCTTAGAATCCAATTTCCAGCATTCACTATTTCCAGCATTTTGCTGGAGGATCTCCTGCCTGTGGCAGGACTACCACCAAAACATGCTTCTCTGCCATTAAGGGGCTTTAGGATCTACATCACTATTTCCTGCATTCTGCTGGAGGAGCCCTTTCATTGATTCAGTCAGAAATTAAATGCATTAAGAGCCTGTAATGGCATACTTTAGGACTAGAAAGGCAGTTGTTATGGGAGAATTGAGACCCGCAAAAACACAAAGCCGTTAACACCAAAGGGGTAGATGTACTTATAATAGCAATGTAACTGTTAGCATTTACTTGTGTTGTTCAATCCCTTCTAGCATCCCAACAGTATATACAGTTGTGAAAAAAAGAAAGTACACCTTCTTTAAATTGTATGGTTTTACATAGCAGGACATAATAAATAGTCATCTGGTCCTTAGCAGGTCTTAAAATTAGGTATATACAACATCAGATGCACAACAACACATGGCATATTGCACCGTGTCATTATTTATTTTACAAACATAAAGCCAAAATGGAGAAGTCATGTATGAAAAACTAAGTAGTTCACCTTCAATAGCTTGTAGAACCACCTTTAGCAGCAATAACTTTAGTTGTGTGTGTGTGCGTGTAAGGAAAGTGTCTATGTTTTTTCTTCCTTTCATGTTCAACCTGTACTCCCATGTACATACTTCCAATGCTGACCTGAAAACACAAGTTGTCTGGCAGTTTCTGGTGGCAGTTTCTGGTGTCTGCAACAGACATGTAGTATATTCAAGCTAAATTCTACGTAGATATTATTTAAAAACAAACATTGATGCAACTACTGTAGGTATTCATTAAAAAAAATACTTTTTTTTAATGCCATGAGTGTAAGCACCTGAATGTAACTTGATTTCATCCACTTGCAGTTCTTCAATATTTTTTGGTATGTTTAGCTCTTTGGCTGGAGCTCAGCTTTAACTCAGAGTAAATAAGAACTGTCAACCTGCATACTTGGTTTGGGTTAGGTACAAGAAAATATTGAAGTTATTGGACCAGCAGGACAGACAAGCAGCTAGCATTTTCAAAGGAGAGGCCAGAACTGAATGTCACACCACCAATTTCAAATCCTACCACTACCGCTGGAATGTGATGTATTGCACTCTCAGCCACACCCTGAGCAGAGGTTTTCCAGCTCACAGGAAAACACTCTGGGGGGAATTTATCAAAACTGGAGCAGACAAAATCTGGAGCAGATTTGCACTGCAACCAATCAGCTTCTGTGTCTCATTTTCAAATTTTGCCTGAGCAAACTGAAGAGAGATGCTGATTGGTTTCCCATGGGCAACTGCTCAGGATTCTCTCTGCTCCAGTTTTGATAAATCTCCCCTCTAAGTTTTAGTAGACTGAAAGGGATCGTCATTGGGGCTGTTAACTCGGTGGTTAACCTTATACACACACACAAACAGTAGCTGCCACCACGTATTTTAATGGAAGCATGCATTGTTCACAGTATAAGCTATAGAAACCCTATAGCAACCCTGAAGGCAACAGAATTTTAAATATGACAGTTTTTTTCGAAGAGGAAAGGGTTGTTTGATTTCTAAATTTGAGCAATTAGAGATAAAGCTTAACAATTTTTATATGTCATATCAATGAAAAGAAAAATGAAGCCAGAAAATATTTATAGAATAGAATATTACAAAACAGACAATATGCCAAAATAAACAAGATTAAAAGTGAAAAGTACTTACCAAAATTTGGTTCCTATGTAGAGTCAAGTACACTTCAGAGTAAGTCCGATAAACAATGCTTTATTTCTGCATTATATTTCTAGCATGTTACAACAGCAAAATAGATATCATGCACTCAGTTTATATGCTTATCTAGACTCTGTACATACAAAAATCTAGTACAAAGTACAAAGTTGGTTTAAAAACCATAAACAAAGCTCTTTGTTTAAGCTGTACTGGGGATGTGGAAGTACCAAATTTATTTTAATACCTCTCATGACACTGGCATGCTAATGGGGGTGAATTTATCAAAGACTGAAATTCTTCAAGCCAATTCAAAATTTAAATTAATAAAATAGTTAAATCTTCAGTCATCACCAGGGGTATTATATTTCCAAATCAATTTTGAATTATAATTTAAATAGTATGCCTACATATGACGTGTCTATCATCAGCATTTT